ACATAGTGGCAAAAATCATTCAAGTAGTAAAACCCTAAATTTATTCGAAACGAGAATTAGTTTCTTAAAATTTGTTGTCTTTGATTTGGGCAGCAATATATAACAATGAAGATGATATAGCAACCTACACCATCAAAACAATTGATGATCCAAGAACCCTCAACAAGACAATCTACATTAGTCCTCCTAAAAACATTCTTTCACAAACAGAAGTTGTTCAGATATGGGAGAAGCTTATTGGGAAAGAACTGCAAAAGATTACTCTCTCGAAGGAAGATTTTTTAGTCTCAATGAAAGGTACTTACGATCTCGAAAAATTATAAACATTATCCCAATTCCACAAAGGATAAATATATATGTACAAACAAATATGTACAAAATGAGTTACTTACTCTCACAAACAAGTGGCTCCCACGTGAATTTAAAAAATATCGGCTCGTGGTCCCCACCTCCTATTGTGAGTAGTGAGTAAAGGATTTTGTAAAAAAAGTTTGTAAGTATAACACGATCCCTTCAACAAATCTCCTCACACATAGATTACATTCATTTTTCCATCAAATACCTAACATTTGTACAATTATTTTATATCAGTGCTCGACTATGCTCAACAAGTGGGATTAAGCCATTATCATGATGTTTGCTATGAGGGATGCCTTACAAGTTTCAAGATAGGAGATGAAGAAGAAGCATCTAAACTTTATCCAGAGGTTAAGTATACTACAGTGGAAGACTACCTCAAGCGATATGTATGAAGACTTGAAATTATAGTTACAATATATGTAATGTGCATGGTCCAAGAACATTTGGCTTGTACCTTTGAATGTTTTTTTATTTAAATCAATCATCATTTTATTATTTTACTGAGAATTTAACATATATAGTGCATATTTAATAAAATTTTATCAACTGTAAATAAAAGAAACTTTAATTTCAAGTACACATATCATGATATTCATAACTTTTACCAATTTTTTAATCACATATTTCACTAATTTTTATCGAAATTTGCTAAAACATTTAAAGAAAGTTTGTCACACACAGCCCCACAGTTTAAATATCTTAATATAATATGAGGGAATTTAACTTTAAATTATATAAGGGAATATAGTAGATATAGTGGTGGCTTGTAAGAAATTGTGGACAAAGATGTATGAAAGGACCTCTAATAAAGAAAGAAATAATCAATTTTGGAAGAACTTATTGTCAACCTCTTTCAGATATAAATCTATCTGATTCAAACAAAATATGGTTTGTTATTATTATAATATGACTTGTTACATAGTGTTAGCACCTAAATTTCCATCTTAAAAGGTCAATCTTATTAAGAAGAGTAGTTCAAAGTCTTATAAGTTGGTCTATGTTTTCATTTTTATTCGATGTGAGATTTTATCATTTAACATGTCTCGCAAAATGGTGACTCGTTTGAGCAGACTAATTTTGAAATCCGTATTCTCATTTATTAAGTTTTAGTCGGATCGAATCGCTCGTTGAAATTTAATGGGCTCCGATACCATGTTAAGACTTGTAGTTCCATTTTAAAAGGATAGTATACATTAGAATTTAGTCTTCGCCATAATATTGCAAAAAATAGGGTTTGCATGGTTTTGCTGGGTATAGGAGATCAAACATCTCACGACGTGAGTCGATGATAGCCATGCAATAAAACCTTGAAAACACGGAAATCACAAATAAATTCCTAATAAATTCAACAAATAAACAAGGTTTAATTCTCAGAGCATTTTGAATCTTTCCATTTGCTGTAGTCGCATTTTCAAGTATTGTGGAGTGATATCACCAGTCCGCGAAAACAAAAAGTATGTGACAATGTACCATATAAGGCAGGCTGCGTTGTTCATAGGTCAAGAGCTGCTGGGCTGGTACAATTTTGCGAAAATGTACTTGAAATCCTTTTTCAAAATGATGAATATCGCAAAATACATAGGACGATGGAATGAACTCAATACTTCTTTTACATATATACTAGAATTCTATTAGAAATAGTTTTTTCAAACTATCAACTAGACTTGAATTTTCCAAATTTGTAATTGTGTACGCTCGAGGCTCTGTTAGAATGATCAAGCAAGAAGTATGATGAGATATTGTCTTCGATTAGGCAATCTACCATATTGAAACTCACAACGTCGTGTTTTCAAAGATTTGAGAAATTTCAAAACTTGGAAAGGACTGATCTCAAAAGAGAAGTCAATACATTGAAACTTAACCACTTAAGAAGTAATTATAATATAGACCAAAAAACCCCTTATTTCTTTATCATTTAATCTCACACCACCTTATATATGTGAATATTCGATTTCTGAAACATGGAATTAGACTTCTTGTAGGCGCAGTGTACAGATAGCTCTTGTTTCCTGACCTGCTGTGACACATCTCACTATTTACCTTCCTCACAAAACTCCAGGGGTGAGGCGGTGGGAGCCTTCAAGGTTGGGGTTCAATGTCTTTTTTTTTTTTTTTATCAATCGAAGCATGATAGAGGATATCACATCACATTTTACATACAATAAGAGGGTAGCTTTGTATTGATAAAAACCCTAGTTTAAAGTATGCATTGATATGATTATATTTGTTACTTTTCTTGAAAATAAAAACGGTATGAATAAATAAAGTCCCCGTTTAATGTAGATAAAAATTAGTTTTTTAGTAGATTTGGATCAGAATAAATGAAATTACGATTGAAAATTTGTGAATCTTATGAAATATACGATTAAAATTAATTATAGACTTTGATTTAAATTTTTAAAAAGTTTTTAAACTACATAGGGACAAATGCCGACTCTTTGGAGATTTCATTTGACATACCACCACATCTTTTCATATCTTTTCATATTAGTCAAATATGTTAGCTCAACAACCCTATCTATGACCTTGTTATGCTCCATTCATTTTACGGCTACACCAATTGTAAGTTCATGTTGGCTTGTCGACGAATCACTTGATTTGAAAGTTTAAGACAAATATCTCATTTAAATCTTATCTTTAAACCATTCTATTTTTCTATCAAAACCAAATCTATTTCATCTCTGTATTAATTATTAGGATTAGTTCGCCAAATACTCTCTTCAAAATATCATATTTTATTAATTCATGTTTGGTAGGGATTAAAATCAAAATTTTAGTAGATTTTGATAAAAATTGATGAGATTTGTGATTAAAAAATTGTGATTTCATAAAATATGTGATTAAAATTAATTAATAGATTTTATTTAACTTAAAATTTAGATTTTAATTCCTACCAAATATGGACTATAAAAATATTTTCCCAATAAAGAAGTTGAAATTTTCTTTTTTATTTTATTTTATTTTAATTCCTACCAAATATGGACTATAAAAATAGTTTCACAAGAAAAAAGTTGAGCCCCTGTTTATTTCAGATTAAAATTTGATTTTAATCTAAATCAAAATCAAACAATCAATGCTAACCACATTTTTCACGGGTCCCACAACTTTTTAACCATATATTTTAAAACCTTCTATCAAAATTTACTAAAAATCTAATTTTAATTCCCACCAAACACCATTTGAAAATTTTTCTATTCCATTAATTGGACGATATACACAACCTAAGCTAATGATACGTCATATACATGAAATCTATGAAAGATGCATTTACCTACTAAAATTACTGTGTCAATTGAACAAAAAAAATTCGTTCTTATCATATTTTATTTTCCTTTCAAACCTTATATTCCAAACAGATATAATAACAACTAGATTTTTCAAAAGTTTGAAAGAATATGTTCCAAATAGAATTTAACACTTTGAAAATTTTTGAAGTAATGATAAAAACGAGAAAACAAACTATTTTTCCAGAAGTTTGAACAAATTCAACTCTTTTAAAATCGAAAAGTTTGATTGTTTACAGAATTGAAAATTACTACTTAAATAATGTTTTGTTGTACATAATTATATGTATATATTGAATGACAAAACTCACTATGCTTCATGTGTGTTTTTGCTTTTTCTTTAAATAAAAATTTTCTCGTATTTCATTGATGTTCTCATAATGAAATATATAAACGGGGGCCTCCGGGGTCACCAACTTTTGAGGGGTCCCCTTCATTTTTTTTTTTTTTTTTTTTTTTAAATTTTTTTTTTTGTTCAAAGTCTTGTTTGGTGTTAATTGAAATCGAAATTTTAATATAAATCAAAGTCAAAATTAATTTTAATAACATATTTCGTGGAATCCTTAACTTTTATCAAAACTTATTAAAAATTTGATTTTAATTTCTACCAAACAAGGATAAAATCACAATAAATTTGAAATTTCTCTCTCTCTCTCTCTCATCTTTTACTAAAATTTTAACACTTCTAATTTTTTTAAATTTGTCTATTGAATTATTATATCTACTACAAATTTTTACTTGCCAACCAAATTTTCAATTAATTAGAACTTAAAGTTGTATTTTCTCCTATCTTATTTGTATATATGGAATTAATGTGTCTGAACTGATTACATCCAATTTAATTTATATTTAATAAATTGTGTCTAATTGATTGATTATTAGTATTGAATATTGGTCATATGTTTTTCCCCTCGATTATTTGAATTAATTGTTTGTATCAAATACACTATAAATTTTTTAAATGTAAATATGTTTTTTCTTGTGATGAGCAAAATATTAATAAAATGACTGTTCGAAATCAAATAGATGAAAATGATAAGTAAAATATTAATGAATAAATATTTTTTAAATGTAAATCTGCATGTTCTCGGATCAAGTATGAATTATTCAAAAATCAAGAATAAAGCATTTGATTTGTACAGAGTTTGATTGTGTTCTCCTAACTCAAAATTTCTGCATCTGCCCCCCAGGATAGAACTTGTGGTTGACAATGTTTGGTTTGATTCAAATTAGCATAATTAAAAGTTTATGGGCCAAGCCAAAAATTATTTTGAAGTTTTATAATGAAGTGGTATATAGAAAGTTGTCTAAGGACTTCCATTACAACTTTTTTTTTTGTTTTTTGTTTTTATAACCATGAATGTTCGGGCTAGCTTACGAGGACTTCCATTACAATTGAGGAAAGAAAACTTATCTTTAGGATGTATGGTTGAAAATATGTTACGAGTATGGGTCTTTCATTCGGTTTAACCCAACAGAGAGAAGAAGCCTCCGTTTGGCTTAAATAAAAGAGTTGATAAAAAATTTAAATCAACGTTAATAATTAATTTTAACTATATTTTTATGAAATTTAACATTTTTATCAACTTTTCAATCATATGTTTCATGAACTTTTATCAAAATTGACTAAAAAGTTAAATTTTAGCAAAACCAAATAGGGCTAATTATGTGAGAGGAAAGGTGTTTAGCGTGAGAGAGAGAGAGAGAGAGAGAGAGAGAGAGAGAGAGAGAGAGAGGTTATATAAAGGTCATGAAACGTACGTTATGCAACGGCCTGAGACTGAAATTGGTGTAGATATTGATAAAGTTGAAACTCTAATATCATTCAAAAAGCAAGGAGCTCATCTTGTACCTGCTTCTTTCGAGGATTACAAGAGCCTCGTGGAGGCTGTGAAGCTGGTCGACATCGTAATCTGTGCAGTTTCCGGCGTACATATTCGGAGTCACAGTATTTTGCTTCAACTCAAGCTTGTTGAAGCTATCAAAGAGGCTGGAAATGTAAAGGTAAAAATATAGGATTAAGCTGCTCGTATAGGTGCTTTCGCCAAAGTTTTTTATGGTGACGAAACTGGATTGGCTAGTTTGAAGTTGTTTTGGTCAAACCGCCAATGAATCAAGTGTAAATCTGTCAGTGAAAATCCCTGACAATGTAGCACGACTCAAAAATATATAAGCTTGCTCATTATGAATCTTGTGTGTTTGGTATATCTACAGACGGCTGGATTCGACTAGATAGTAACACAATTGACAAGATTTTAACTGAAAGATTTTGATTTTTGTAGAGATATATACCATCTGAGTTTGGTATGGATGCTGCAAAAATGAAGAATGCAATGGAACCTGGAAAGGTGGCATTTGATGACAAGATGGTGGTGAGGAAAGCAATTGAAGAGGCTGGAATTCCATTCACTTGTGTCTCTGCAAACTGTATTGCGGCCTATTGGCTGGGAGGCCTATGTCAATTTGGAAAAATCCTTCCTCCTAGAGATCATGTCATCATACATGGAAATGGCAACCTAAAGGGTAAGCACATCACACACTAAAGGCATCCATGGTCTTACGACTCTGCGGAGGCATTTTTTATTGGTACATCTATAGTTGCTCGAGTTATTTATTTTGCTAATCCGAATTGAAGGGAGATATGAGATCGGTTTATTTCTGATATCATGTTTGTATTCTCATACAGTTTTTTTTTTTTTAATAATTTATTTGGGCAGGAATATATGTGAATGAAGATGATATAGCAACCTATACTATAAAAACAATTGAAGACCCCAGAACCCTCAACAAGATAATCTACATTAGTCCTCCTAAAAACATTCTTTCCCAAAGAGAAGTTGTGCAGAAATGGGAGAAGCTTATTGGGAAAGAACTTCACAAGATTACTCTCTCTAAGGATGATTTCTTAGCCTCCAAAAAAGGTATGGACAATCTCAAAATATTATATTCCTTATGTTCTTAGAGAGGATCCACATGTATTCCTACTAACCTTGTTTTCTGCATGCTTTCTAACATATAATTCATATTCATTTTTTGACTATAGGTATATCACATGCACAATTTTCTTAAATATGTTCTTAGAGAGGATCCACATGTATTCCTACTAACCTTGTTTTCTACATGCCTTCTCACATATAATTCATATTCATTTTTTGATTATAGGTATATCACATGTACAATTTTCTTAAATACTTAGCGACGAGACTTGAATCCACGTCTTTTGCTTGTCCTCTCATCTAGAAGTTTAAGTTGTTAGAGATGAAATATCTAAAACTTGGCTTCAACAATATATATCCAGAACTAATTATTTCTTGTTTTTTGATTTATATGATTTCAGTGCTTGACTATGGTCAGCAAGTAGGATTAAGCCATTATCATGATATTTTGTATGAAGGATTCCTTACCAGTTTGAAGATAGGAGATGAAGAAGAGGCATCTAAACTCTATCCAGAGGTTAAGTACACTACTGTGGATGAGTACCTCAAGCAATATGTATAATTGAAATGAAATTATAATTGTAATAAATTATATATGTGATCCAAGAACATTAATTTGCCTTTTATTTTTGAATGCTAACTATTTTAATAAATTATATACAGAGTATTCATATTAGGACTGATATCTTAAGCACTGATACTTAGCTTATGCTAAGCACTCGGATGACATAACACACTACAATAGGTAATAAGAAATAATGATTGGTGACAAAACTGATTATACCACCTATTGTAGTGTGTCATATTACCTGGTGATTAACATAAATTAAGCACCGATCCTTGATACATTAATTCTGATATTTATATAGTCTACTTTATTTGGTGATTAATTACATCAATAAGTGAAAAAAAAAGATTTATTTAACTATGGTATAGCTAGTTTACACTATGCACATTAAAATTTCATTTGTTAAAATGTGAAAGGCCAAAAAATGGGCATTGCCATAAAAAAACAAAAATTTCAGTTACTATTACCACATATTTTAATAGTGTTGGAGTAATGTTGATCTTTCAGCAACATCAAAAAGTAAGTAACATTCCATTAAAAATAGGTTATACGTCAAGGGTTGGTAACATTTGGCGAAATGGACAAATTGTCTTGAGGGAATATCTTCCGATCCATCTATTGGGAATGGAAAAAATCTTTAGCATATCTGTAATAATCATTTGGATTCGTTCGCCAAATACTCTCTTCAAAATATCATCGTTTGATATATTTGGAAGAAATTAAAATCAATTTTTAGTAGATTTTAATAAAGATTGATGAGATTTGTGGTTAAAAAGTTGTTATTTCATGAGATATGTGATTAAAATTAATTATTGACTTTTATTTAAATTAAAATTAAAATTAAATTTTTAATCCTCATCAAATACGGACTATAAAATTAGTTTCCCGAGAAAGAAGCTGAAATTTTTCCTATTCCATTAATTGGATGATACACACCACCTATTCTACATGAAATCTATGAAAGATGCGATTCTCGGGGCATAGTCCAGTGGTATAAAGGATAGGGGTGAGGTTATCTCACGCCTTGATGGCAGCAGTAGTGTGAAGGTTCGATTCCTGAGACATGAAATTGGACTTTTTGTAGGCGCAGTGTACAGGCAGCTCTTGTTCCCTGACCTGCTGAGGTACATCCTTCGATTTACCTCCTTCACAAAGCTTTAGGAGCGGGACGGTGGGGGTCCTCAAGGTTGGGGTTCAACCCTTTTTTTTTTTTTTTTTTAATCTATGAAAGATGCATGTACCTACTAAAATTGTTGGGTCAATTGAACACGTTTTTCTTATCGTATTTATTTTCCTTTCAAACCTTATATTCAAAAAAGATATATCGATAACAAGAATTCTCAAAACAGCATCTATGGAAAGTGACCTAAGAAGGACTTCTGTTGCAATTGAGGAAAGAAAATTTATCTTTAATTTTAGGAATCCAATGTTACGAGTATGGGTCTTTTCATAAGGTTGAACCTGACAGAGAGAAGCAGCCTCGTTTTGATCTAACTAAGCCGTGTTTGGATGCTATTTTTTTTGGAAAAACATTGTTTTGAATAATGAATTTTTGGAGAATGTGAGATTAAAAAACACGAAATTTTTTTGAGTTACATGTAGAATATTTTATTGTGTGATTGAAAATAAGTATATAATTTTTATTTATTTATTTTTTTAAGAATACGAGACAAACAAGGGCTAAAAGGACTGATAAAAATTTAAACCAAATTCAACAATTAATTTTAATTATATATTTAGAAGTATTAAACAAGCCAAGCGGTTCGTTGGTTTAACCACTCGACTCGTGAAAAGACAGCAAGTGGGCAGCTAGGACTCCAAATTTGACGAGCTCGATCATGTGCCGAACCTCGACTCATAGACGGCTCGTGGCTCGTGAGTGAACAGTGACAAAAACGTTTAAAAAGTGAACATTTTGCTCACTGATAATACTTTAGTGACTGTTGCAAATAGTCACCGAAGCTTGAAAAGTGGACCGACCACTTTAATTTTTTTACTCTAAATATCTTAATCCGTTTCCAATTATTATTATTATTTTTTTTTTCACGCAATATTGTAACTACAGTCCTCACTCTCTTTCACATTCTACACAATTTACTACATTCATTTCTAATTTTTTTACCTTCAATTTCAATTATTCAATATCAATGACCAATTTACCACACTACAAATTTACTTACTTAATTACTTACTATACACTATACAATCTATACCATACAAATTACAATACATGTTCTATACATTTCATTGTAAAAGTTCATAATTCACAAATGGATTCACACTCGTTTGTTAAAAGCTTGTTCAGTATGCGAAGCGAATTACCTATGACGCCGCAAAACCAATGTCAGAATGAATTTGTTGATCTCAACTAAGTACCCATACCCGAAAATATTCTAGATTTGGATGCTTACGAAAGTAGTAATCCAATTGATTTAGATGACGTTAATGTTTTCAAAGCGGAACATGAGGAAAAACATGAATTAGATATTTTTGATGCAAGAGGGAAACGAAAGGGAAAAAACATGCAAAATGTTGGGATCGCTTTAAATTGATTCCAACGGGTCGTGTCATTGATAAAGTTGTAGAGTTTAAAATAGTATGTAAATACTGTTAACAACGATAGGCATGACAGAAAGGCATTGGTACCACCTTATGAATCGTTACTACAAAGCAAGAGTGGCTAAACATTTGCTTCTTGTTGTCGGTCAAACGCAACTGTAATTTGGTAGTTCAACCGTCGGTTCTACTTCTACGACACGTTGCATATAAATGTATTTGGAGGAGAAAGCTCGAACTGGAATTGTGAAGTTTGTTGTTGGAGCTGAGCTGCCTCTAGCAATAGCGGATAACCAACATTTCGTTTTGTACGTGAAAGAACATATTCAATCGAGGTACGATGGGTTAAGTTGGAGCACTGTTCTTTCTGATACAATAGAATATTTCCTTCATAATAAGGAATAATTGATTATTGATTTACAAAAATATGGGTGCTATATCTTTAACTTTGGATATGTGGAAACATATTAATAAAAAAGGTTATATGATGCAACTGAACACTACATAGATTCTCTTTGGTGTATGCATAAAAAATTATCACTTTTAAAATTATTAAGTTTCATCACAACACTAACAATATATATAACGCCATTATAAGCATTATTAGAGAATATCATTGTAAGAGTAAAATACAATCTTTTACGTTTGACAATGTTAGTGTTAATAAGCAAGTTCTCAACAAATTGTGTAGGGTTCTACAGTCCAATTTCGGTGATTATTTATTTCATATTCGTTGTGTATGTGTGTGTGTGTCATATTTTTAATTTAATTGTAGATGATGGTTTGAAATATATTAAGAATGAAATTCAAAAAATTAGATGCATTAATATATATCATGATTTCACATAGTAGAAAACAAGTTTTTGAGGAATTTTTTATCGAATTTGAGGTGACGAATACAAAAACATTTGTTAATGAGGTAGAACATAGATTGAACTCCACTTATTATTAAAATTATGCGAAGGATTTGAACATTTAATAACTGGATTTTATAACAGTAGACATATTAAAAATAATGATGATATTATTTTGAATGAATTTGATTGACTTTTAGCTTTTAAAATTAAAATTTTTTGACAAATTTTTATGACTCTACAAGTATTTTATCTGGAGTGTACTATCCTATTTGTAGCTTGGTGTTTGAACGTATTTATATAATTGTAAGGGTTTTTCATAAATATAAAAATGATCTCGATTTTAGTAAAATTCTATATTCTGTGGAATTAAAATTTAGAAAATATTGAAAAATCTTGCATATGTTATTGCCTTTAGCATGCATCATGAACCTCGAGACAATTTATCAAATATTATATATGTAATTGATCTGATTTCAAAAGTTTTAACTTTTTATACTCTTATCACTTATAGAAATTTAGAACAAACTTTGTGTGAAATGTATGAATTATATGTAGAATGAATGTGTGTAAATATTAGTCGAGTACTCTTTGTACCTACTCCTCCCACTGATACTGAAGAAGACGATGTTGAAATATTAAATTTATTTAAAGATATTAATACGTATAGATATGTTGCAAATGCAATAAGTACTTTTAGCAGCAGCAGTAGTATGTCTACTGTAAAGTCCCAAAGATTTTATTAAGGTAGAATTAATTATTTTATGTGCTATATATTTTGTAATTGAAAAGGTTGAGGACTAAAATAACATATATATATATATATATATATATATATATATATTAAATTCAATTTTATTTTGGTCGAATATTTAAATATTGATAGAGTAATATATCAATATTGGGCTAGTTGAATAGCTCGTAATTAGTTATTTATATTAAGCTCGAAAAATATCGATTAGAATAAGTAAGACTCAAGATATTAAAGTTTATAGACCTTGTCACTTATTTTTAATTGTTTATAATTGCTTTTGAATTTATAAAGGATGCCAACACGCGTAAATTAGATAGAGTTAAGATAAAGCAGTTTCATTTTTTTATTGAATGACATAATATATTATATTATGGGTACTGTTCTTGATATAATATATTCTACTACATGATTTGATGCCACCAAAAGAGCCAATTGTCCTTTATTTGAATTAATTAATTTGCCTTTTTAATTTCAAATGATTACCTTTATAAAAAATGAGATATTGGAAGAAACTCACATCACCCCCTATGTGGCATATTCAGGCGGTACAAAAATGTATTGAAATCTTCTAGATACATTTTTCAATACATTTTTGTGGAGAAACATGAAAGAGGAATTGGTTCGTTCGTTGAGAAATGTATGGTCTATCAGTAGGTTAAGACAGAGCACAAAGGCCATAAGGATTGTTGAAACTATCGAATATTCCAGAATGAAAATGAGAACACATAGCGATGGATTTTGTGGTGGGCTTTCCGAGATCAGCAGAAGGTCACAATACTATTTGGATAGTGGTTGATCGTTTGACAAAGTCAGCCCATTTTATACCAATCAAAGTAAATTTCAATATGGAACAGCTCGCACAGTTATATGTAAGAGAGATAGTCAGGCTGCATGGAGGTCCTGTCACCATTGTTTCAGATAGGGACTTGAGGTTCACATTAAAA